TCTTTAGTTACCAAATAGTGTTTGTGATACATAAAAATAGAAAGTTGTAGATACAATAATGTATAGCAAATGAATATTTCAGTTTTTAAAATGAGAATTTGTATATTCAGTTGCAGCTAGCAGTCCCTTAGACTTTTGAAAAAAATTGCAAGTAAGCAGTATTCATGGTGTTTGAAACTAAAAGGCGTATATTAATTATCAAAGAAACCAGTTGAATCTGTAGTAACTGCATATTTGTCTGTTTCAAATCTAAAAGGTTATGTTTTGAAGTAAGATTTAACAGTCCTTAAATTAATACATTGTCAATAAAATAAATTGTTTTAAAGTTCCTTGTTACTCATTAAAATTATCTTTTAATTTTTTATGGTTTTAAATTAAAAAATAAAAAATAAAGTACTCACCATTTTTTTTCATAAGGTGGCAGAGGAGTTGATCAATCCATATGGAGAAGATGATGATGATTTTGAATTGAACTGGACATTAGAAAGAAATATACAGGTAGTGCTAATTAAAGAGATATGCACACTTAGCTTTCAACATTTAAATAAATTATTGATAATTCCAATTGATCACTTTTTTCGCATGCAGTTTAGTTTGAGCAAGCTAATGTTTTAATTTTTGATGTAATTAATCCGTTGCAAAAGTTTAGTGTATTACATATAGTCATTCATATTTGTTCATAGCTTTAATTTATTTAATTTCTTCAGGTAGAGTAAATGTTATGCTTAACTTTTATTTTTAACTTTAATAGACTTAATTTTAGTGCAGAACTGTGCTGATATAACAGATTAATGATTTTTATATCTGTATCAGAACTAGGAATCTTTACACAAGTGTGTGCATGTGTGTGTTGGGTAAAATTACTAGATAATTATTTTATTTCTAATAGGTACATTTTTTTTTCTCTCAACAACCTTGTGAATTATCTGTCAATTGAAAAGATAGTCAACACTCTCAAATAGCTTAAACTTTATTTTGAAAATTAAAAGGCATTTGATAAAACATATTCCCATCATTGTATGAGTTGTACTTCTCAAGAGACTTTTTGCATTTTCTTGCATTATACTTGTAATTTGCAAATTAAAATACCTTTGCTAAACAGTATATTCCCATCACTATATGAATTGTACTTCTCCAGAGTACTTTTTTTTTTTTTTTGCAATGTTTTACCTCCTACGTTTTGGGCCAGAGGACAAAATTAATTTTGT